GTTTCTCTCATCAAATAATTTCTATTCTATTATAAAATTCAAAAGCTTCCAAAATTATCCCCAGAATTATCTTTAATATATGAGTTTTAAAATATATGGTGAAGTTATATACTTCAAAATACACTGTATGGGAAGAAGACAGCTTCAGTTTATTTTACATATAACCCTGTTAATCATTTAGTGGATGATTCCAGGAGAGGATCTCAATGACATCACAGCTGTTGAAACAAAGTTGGAATTATTATATTAAGATACAATTTTCAAGCATTATTCTGATTCTTTCTAGATCCTTCTTCACGTCTAATATGCCATGCTAATCAACAATCAAGCTCAAAATAAATGGGTATTTTCTCTGTATCAAGGGTGAATCATTTTTCTGCTTATTTTTCCTACTATTTTAGTGTTGAGCCCATCATCCTCTTACCTATGTGATTATTCTCAGAATTTATTAAGGGATATGAAATCTCATAAAATGTCTAAACCTGATTATCTTCCTGAAATCATTCTCAGTTGGCTGCTTTATATTCATTGTATATTTTCATTAACACCCCATCAAAAGGTCATCCCAGGGAGGGAAGAATGGGGCTATCATGATTACATAATAAAAAGTAAACTAACTATGATAAAGGATATTTTTTAAGATGTTACAATTTTGATTATTTATTTATGTATTTTTGTATTTTAGGGAAAGGTCTATAGGGTGTTCTGGGTCTCACTGCGTAGATAGGACTCGAAGTGATCCGCCTGTTCACAGCCTCCCAAGAGCTGGGATTACAGGCGCGCGCCACCACACCCAGTCTCAACTGCGGTCTCAATGTGCCCTGGGGGCGGGGCTGCCTTGGCAGTCCAGAGGGTCTAACACCCTCCCCTCCCCTCTCCCTCCCCTTCCTATTCCCCCCCACCCCGCTTCTGGGGACCTGAATCAATCAGTAAACAGGCAGATTTGGTTTCTGCTCTGAGGAAGGCAGGGAGAAGGTGAAGAGCGAGTGCTGCAGTGGGTTCTCAGGCCCCTGGAAGACGTGGCCCTTGGCAGCAGCTGGGTGGCAGGAAGCGAGCGATGCGAAGGTGAGAGCGGAGAGCCTTCCTTGTGGGGCACTCTGGCCAGGACACACACACACACACACACACACACACACACACACGCCTGAAGCATGCGCTAGCCTGGCACGTTTGAAGAACACCACAAAGGTCATTTTGGCTGTGTTGGGTACAGAAAATAGCAGGAAGCAGCGGGGTGAGATGGATGAGAGCCGTCGAACATTTTGGGACAGAGCAGGAAAGTATTATTTTGGCTCATGGGCTCAGAGGGTTCAGTCCTTGGCAAGCCGGCCCCACGGCAGAAATTGCATGGTGGAAGGGCAGCTCGGAGCAAAGCTACAACCCATGGGATCCCCAAAGCAAAGAGAAAAGAAGAGAAGCTGGGGACAAAATGAACCTTTCTGGTTTATGCCCCCATTGGCCCACTTCCGTCAACCAGCCATGGAGTATTCAGCCATGAACTCATCCGGATTAATAACCAACACTTTGTTCTAATAAATTAACTTTTAAATTACATTCTTAGTAATTATTTAACAATTCAGAGTCATCCTGGGAAGACATCAGTAACTTTTTTAGCTCGGAGAATGTTCTCAAAGTAATACTTAATGGTAAGTTCCAAAAATGAAATGTAACTTTAACAATTTGCATAACAAACCAGGTTTGTTTTGGAAGGTTTGACATACAAACCTTGTTCTGGTATTATCTACTTAATATCATACCACCTTGAGAGTTCATATATTATAGGAATTATTCAAGTATCTGAATGAAATTTTGAACTATTAATATACATATTTGAAGGTAGCATGAATATCTGAAATCCTTCAAATTTATTTTTAAAATATGAAAAAAATTGATGAAAATTAACCTTTAGCTTTGACACAGTTTTGAACACTAAATTTTTATCCAAGAATAAAAAATCAGAGCATAGAACACACATTGGTTCAAGCAGCAAAACTGCAAATATAAAAGTATTGCCCTACCAAATATATTATTTTCCCTATTTTTCTGTAGTTGGGAAAACACAGGCTGACACATAGAGTGCAGGTTAGGCTAAGGGGCCAGTTTTTGGGCATGGCGGAATGGGAAGGTAAAATAATTTAGTGTTTTTGCACTTACGTTCTAAAGAACAACTCCTTCGAAAACAAATCTATTGTATTTATTGGGAATGTTAATTTTGCAGCCAAGAGATAATGCTTTCATTAGACTGTAAGCCTCATAAGGGTATATTTTTACATTACTGTATCCTGCAAAGTAAGCAGAAGTAAATACAAAATGACCCAAGGGTTCAAGACAGCCGAGAGTGACCCTGCACAGATGGCAGGGAGCAGGGGCAGCAGGACAAAAGAACAAGGACAAAGGAGCAACCCTAGGGCAGCTGGGAAACAGGCAGGGAGGGCAGAGGGAGAAGGGAAATGGAGTGAAGGAGGTGGAGACCGAGGGAGAGGGTGAGACAGCAAGGTTCAGAGGCCAAGAAAGAGCAGGCTGGAGAGCTGGGGCCATGACCAGTGGGGAAGAGGGAGGCACAGGAAGCTGAGGGTCACAGCAGAGAGGAGGGCAGAGGGCTTGCAGGAGCAAGAGGGAAGGTTGAGAGCAAAAAGGGTGCACACCTTTTTGCAACGACTGGAAATGAAGAAATTCTAGCTTCATTCCTTCAAATTAATTTCTCACTCTTTTCCTTAAAAATCCTAAATCCTTCTGATTTGAAGTCAACTTTATGACAAATACCAGAATAATGCAGTGAGTTAAGAGAGTGGATTCGAGGGCCACTGCAACCTAGAATCGGGACTTGGTGTGATTAAAGATCTCCAAGGGTCTGGAAGAGAGCAATTATTTATCTCACTAAAAGTGTAGAGAATAATAACAGTCAGTGCTCGTGCAGATCACACTCAGCAGAAAGCACTATTGTAAGTGCCTGTGCACTCTGATTACTCAGAGTCAAGTTAAAGGTGAGGTGTTTGAGGCACCCGGAAGTGTAAGTGAGCTGCTTCAGCCTCCAGGTCTGGTAAGTGAAGAGCGAGGCTTCTAGCCCCAGCAGACAGCTGCAGAGGTGGCGCGTTCACTCTGTATGCACAACCTCTTGAAGAAATTAAAATAGAGTGTATCAACACAGTTGGAGAACATAATTATCCTGAAAAAACAATGGATATTTTCCATGATTAAAATAGCAGTTTATAAAACTGCAGTTTATAAGGGCTGGCCTGATAGCTCAGCAGACTAAAGCGCCTCAGCGGCAGGGTTTGATCCCCAGCGTGACCTGCAGGCCCCACCCCTGGGGCGTGCTGAGAGGGCCATTGAGACTGGGCGCGGTGGCACGTCGGAGTAATCCCAGCACTTGGGATGCTGAAAACAGGAGAATCACTATAAGTCCGATCTATGTAATAAGACCCTGTACATCCTGTCCTAAATACAGAAAAAATTAAAAAATAAAATAAAACAGCAGTTATAACTAGAAAATTCGGCCTCTTTCATATAATTTCTCAGGGAGAATACAGTTAATAAGAGACAAATGTGGGACTTAAAAAAATCCATTAGGTTCAGCACATTTACCAGTAATGTTTTTGTGAATGTGATAATTTTATTTAATTTTATTTTAGACTTCTTTCTCTTATTTATTTTCTTCCTCACAGACCCAAACTGTTATTGAAATTCCTTTTAAATTTCAATCATTCTTGGAATTGTCCTTTCTTCTCCTGGGTGGAAACATGGGACGTCAAAGCTGGACTGATGAAAAGGGGATTTGGAGCCAGAGGGATGAATCTCAAGGCGGGCAGGTGAGCAGAACCCATCTTGGAAAGTTCCTTGGAATTTTTGCTGTGGTTGCTCCTCAGATCCAAAGTCACTTGGCTGCAAATTTATGGATCAGAGTTAGCAGCTCTTGGAGACTGTGTGGTGGACAGCACCACGGGGCCCCGAGAAGAGAAGGAGGAAGAGGCCTTCTCTTTGTGGTCCTAGCCTTGTACACGGTCTCCTTTCTCGGCCTCACACCTTCGAAGTAATACATTATGGAAAGATGAGGATCAAGAGGGAGTGGACTTTTAAAACTGCCAATTCCCCCTCGATAAGCAATACACATACTCACTTTTTCGTTGTAGATGTCCCCAAGCATTGTACTTGTTCTCACAATGTCTAGGCTTTGAAAGTTGTTTCTTGTAATTTCCACAACTTTTTTCAAGTATGTAACTGCTTCTTTCATCTCTCCCTGGCTGGAAAGAAATACAATTAGAAAGTGCTGCAGTATCAGCTCAGTGTCACACTGAAAAGAGCATGGTTTTGTACCACTGCTGTGGAAAATGCAAGATGGTTACAGGATAATGAAAATAAATCCCAAATTAGCAAACGTGTGGCTTCTTTGTCGGAGTTAAAACTTCAGTTTAACGTGTTAATTCTTCTATGTCATTTAAGTCAGACGTAGAAATGCTGTGTATGCTGGAGTTAAAAAATTTGAACTTTGGGCCCTTGTACATGGTTAATTGGAATATAAAATGATATAGTTACCTTGGAAGTCACTTTGGTGGCTCCCCCAAAATTTTATATAGTTACCACAAGAACTAGAAATTTAACTTCACAATATATAACCAAGAGCACTGAAAACTTACACCCACACAAAACCTTGTGCATGAATGCTCATGGCAGCATGAAATATAATAGTCAAGGAAGAGAAACAGTCCCAAAGCCCATCAATCGATGAATGGGCCAGCAAAGTGGTATATTCATACAATGGACTATTAATCATAGAAAGGAAGGGAGTACTGACATATACTGAAGCATGGATGGAACTTGGAAACATACTAAGTGGGAGAAGGCAGACACAGAAGACCACATATTGTACGATCCTGTTTACATGACACAGCTAAGATGTGCAAATCCGTGCAGTCAGATAGCAGATCAATGGCTGTCAGAGGTAAAGGAGTGGGAAATGGGGAGTGGCTGATAGTCGGTACAGGGTTTATCTTCAGACTGATGAGGGGTCCTGACATCAGATAGTTGTCATGGTTTCACAATTCTGTAACTATACTAAAACCACTGAATTGCAGACTTTAAATGGGAGAATTGTATGGTATGTAAAGTACATCTCAATGAAGCTGGTTCTTTTTTCTTAAAAAGAAACTTTAAAAATGTTATAAAAATGAATATTAATTATTATAAAGTTCCCTCCAGCACTGAAATCTCAGGTCACTAAAGTTACATACGGTATGTATTCTGGCAAAATACTCAAGAGGACATGATTTCCAACAGA